AAAAAAAAAAAAAAAAAATGATAAAAACAGAAAGACACAACTCTTTAAAGATATACATGTTAATACTCAGGCAAGAAATCAACCACGATTCCAGAATAAGTCATGGAAGTCTAGAAAGCTTTTGTTTTGTTTTATCGGAAAAGCAGGGCTAATATCAAACATCACTTGTATTTCAAAAAACAAAAGACAAAAAAACACCAATATTCTCATTGATTGTAAATAAGATTACAGTTTTACCCTTTTTTCCCTCATTTTAATCAGCATGGAGTTCTTGAATGGAAGCTTTATAGTTATCCCGTGTTGATACTGTCAAATACTTTTGAAATCTCCTGGCACATCTTACTTTCTACTTCATTTTTGTAGCTACAAACAAGCAATAATACTTCCTAGATCTGCTTTATTCCCTGTGCTAAGAACCAATCCTAGAAGAGGTAATGGCTCTATCATATAGCTAAATCCCTGACCCTCCTAGATTTTCAGTCAGTCTCATTAACCCATTTGATGTCTATATTTTAACTATTTAATCTAACAGTTTTTTTCCTTTTTCCTCTATATGATGAATTTGATTATCATAATAGTTGCTTATTATTAAAGCATTTGAAATCTGCTCATGAAAGCAATGGATCTTCCTTCCTTTGTTTGTTTTGGTATTTGAATCAGTCTTATTTATCCCAGCATGTTGACTTCCAATTGGCTGTACAGCCAAGGTTTAATTTAAATTCCTCAACTAACCTCTACTTCCCAAGTGCTAAGACTGTAGGTATGAGTAGGTGCAACAATTAGAAAGAGTTCTTCTTTATCTGACTTTATGCTTTTTTTATTTCTTAAAGTCAGAGCTCCAATTATTCCTTATGTACCTTTTCTTATCATTGAAAGGAAATTGTGCTTTAATGTTATGGGTTCCCCTATAGAGTATGGAGATTTCCGTGGTAGTAATTATTTATGATAATAGTTGCTCAATAAACCTTGACTAAGAAAATCAGTAATAAATTAAATTTTAATTGCAAAGTCTGCTACATTGGATTTTTTAAAAAAATTTTTGTAGAAGAAATGAGATAGAAACCACAATTGGTAACCTAGGAGCACTCAAAAATATCACATTGCATTTTAGAGGTTTTATATAACCCCTCCAGAATGTCTACAGTATATGAATTGTCTACTTTTTTTTCCTTTCTCTACAGACTCCATTCCTCTTCTTGATTTCCCAAGAGATCTGTAATGAAGAACAATGTATAGAGAATAAAAGAGACAAATATTTGAAAAAATAATCAAGAAACAAACTTTCTTAGAATTACAAGTTATATTGTAATGCTATCAAACTTTCTTCATGAAGATACTAGGAGGATGAACTCAGCAGGTGAGGATGACAGCAGCCTTAAACACTCATCCTTGGCCCGCAGGGGACTTCCTGTGATCCCTCAGGCATAGCATTAAGTAGTGTAACAACCAATGTCTGTCTGCTGTGGGATGGTCTGTATGTCAAATGCTCTGATTGGTCAATAAATAAAACACTGATTGGCCAGTGGCCAGGCAGGAAGTATAGGCGGGACTAACAGAGAGGAAAAAGGAGGGAACAGGAAGACAGAGGGAGACACTGCTGGCCGCTGCCATGACAAGAAGCATGTGAAGACACTGGTAAGCCACGAGCCACGTGGCAAGGTATAGATTAATAGAAATGGGTTAATTTAAGATATAAGAACAGTTAGCAAGAAGCTTGCCACAGCCATATAGTTTGTAAGCAATATAAGTCTCTGTGTTTACTTAGTCGGGTCTGAGTGGCTGTGGGACTGGCAGGTGATAGAGATTTGTCCTGACTGTGGGCCAGGCAGGAAAACTCTAGCTACAAATGTCTTTATCACTTACCTAAATGATAAGTTATTTTTAAAAAGGTATGGCCAAGTGACATACTAACAATGAAAATTCTGGAAAGAAAGTAAAAAATAATGAAGACCCACTAAAATAACTGTAGATGTTAGATCATGATCAAGTAAGAAATTGAAGCCATCTAAGCTACACTAAAACAAGTTTTGGTCTGAACATGAATTTGAAATGTTTCAGATTCACACTGTAGATCTGCAAATGAATTCATACACAGCATGAGTTTCTGTCTAGCCTTATGGCTCACAGTAAAAATTAATATGGGGCTGGGCAGACTGAAATGCTCCTCAATTTCAATTGTCCTGGAAAGGAAACCAGGTTTTCTCATTGAATTGTCTGCATTTTGCTTCCACTGAAGCATGTTAGTACAGCCCTGGCTGTGCATTTTAAAAATATCTTTGCACAGATGTTGTTCTGGGTATTATTCTCATGTTTGTTTTAATTTCAATGTGCTAACACTTTTAGGTTGTGAATGTGTGTGTGTGTGTGTGTGTGTGTGTGTGTGTGTGTGTGTGTGTGTGTTCCTATCTATCCATCTCTCTGACATTTTATCATCTATCACCTATCATCTACCTATCATCTGTCTGTTACCTATTTGTCTGTCGGTCTGCCTATCTATCATGTATCTTCATTGGGTTTTATGCATAACTGGAATGTTTTATTTTTTTCTCCATTTTGTGTCAGTTTATAGGAAGAACATAACATGAATATGTATGGATCAGTTATTTAAAATACTTCAGAGTGAAAACACAAGCTTCCACACATACCCTAAAAACAATTTCACTTTCACTGACAACTGAAATTTGTCTGTTGTATTTCTCCTATTTGGTTTTGGTTTTTCTAACAGGTTTCCTTCTGATACATAGTCTGATCCAGTAAATACAGATTAACCATCTAAGACCTCTGATCTTCCAGGCAGGTAAAAGAAACCACTAGGAGCCTGACTGCAGAGATTTAGTTGAGGTCTTCCTTACATAGTCCCCTAGTATCTATCTGTTCTTGTCAATGCATTAGGAATTCCATAGAGTGAGTACAACAAAACCTATCATTGTCTCCCCTGCAGTGCTAAGGAGCAGAGGGACACTCAATACAGAAAATACCACATGTTCTGCATATGTGTTTCTGTTTTATCCTGAAATTATAATTTTAAAAGTAATTGTTCATAGTACCCAACTCAGACATTTTAGTACCTTCTGCTTTAATTTTCCTTTGTAAATCATTTGTTTCACAAACACTTGAATGCAAAGTAGACATAAAGTTTGTTTAATGTTGTTTTACACAACTCAAGTCTTCCTCCAGTCACAACATTGTTGTGATAGGGTTAATGCCTCACATTGAAGCTAAGAAGACTCTCAGTCTTGTCCATTTCCAGGAGTTTTCCTAACAATCTAAAGACATAGCAGGAGTTCCTTAGCTTCACCTATAGGGTTAGGCAAATCAAAACAAAAAAAAGGACACATACAGGTCTGCAAACAGAATTTTTAATCTGCCTGTAATTAGCATTTCTGTGCTCTTGCTTCATAATTAGCAGATTTTGTTTTGAGACTATTTTTAATTTCAGAAGAGGGATTTATACATACTTTTTAAACTTGCAGATAGCAGCAGAACTGATGCTGACTTCTGTAATTACCGCTACAACTGAAGGCCACATCTGAAGATCTAGATGGAGCCATCCCTGTCTAATGCAACACTGGACTTTACCAATAAGATTAGAGTATTATCAAAATTGCCCAAAGACCAATTACAAGATCTGACAGCCAAATGCCATAATTATATAGGGATTCACTTTTGAAAAGGGTGCTTTTATCCTCAATACCAATTTTAGCGGTCCACTATTAACTTTAGAAGACAGATCAACTCAATCTAGTGTTTTTAGGCACCAAAACTGCAGACAGAAACAGTCATAAGAAAAAGCTGTCTGTCTCTCAGTTGAAAAGGACAGAAAATGAGACCTCATTGAAGTGATGCTACTTGGTTCACCAAGAAGTTGACCTTTAGATGGCTATTTTCTTAAAGGAATTATGCTAGGGAGAATGTTCAGAATCAGCATTTATCCCTAGAAAAAAAGATACAAGATTGCCAACCCCAAATGAGGAAATTCCATGTAGTCATAGCAAAGGCGCCAGCTGATCCTATTCAGAGTTTTGTATAGCCACAGAAACCCAAAGGATGTCTTATGGATCTTAATTATACCTAAACTCATCACACACACACACACACACACACACACACACACACACACACACACACACTTGTGTGCATCAGTGAAGATAGTAACTAAAAGTGTATTCTATAACACAGATTTTCATTGTCTGAATATTTATATATTTGGTATGAGAATAGTCCTCCATACCAAAAAGATTTTTATCCAAGTCTCACTTTGTTCTGTACACATGAATCTGTGTTCATATTCTTTAACAAACAGATCTACCAATCTTTTGTTTTGTTGATTTTTAAAATAATACTAAACAACCCTACTCCATAACATTTAAATGTCTGTTTAGATTGCTTATTTTAAATCAATTTTCAGATTTTTTTCTGGTGGTTTATTTCCAGAAAAAAATGCATTACTAAAATGATCCTTTCTAGAAAAACAATCTTGATGCTGTTATTTTGTCTGATATGTTTATTTTCTATTGTCAATTGGAGTTAGAGAGGATGATTCCTGCTGTATTCATTATCTGTGAACCATGGCATTTTATCCTGCTTTATGGGGTTTGAGGGCAAAACATTTTTTATCAGTGTGGATCTTAGTTCTTACTGAAAAAGTTCTTCAAAACTACTAGATGTGAGAGAAGATGACCATATGTAATTAACATGGAAGCATGCATTATAAAAAGTCTGTGACTTGGGGAAATTTTTAAGAGAATAAACTTTTCAAATTCCATATAATGGACTGTGGGCAAGGAACACACACACACACACACACACACACACACACACACACACACACACACAGAGAGAGAGAGAGAGAGAGAGAGAGAGAGAGAGAGAGAGAG